GGACTTCCTCGTAATAAAGGGCATGTGGCAGGACAGGGACAGAAAGGGGAGGCTAATGATGCAATAACGTGGTAATGTTTTTAAACATTTACAAAACTTTTTAATATGTGAAAGTTCTAAATACAGTACTTGAAACATAGAAGGCAGTCAACAGAGGTGAGCTTTTTCTCCCACTGACAAAATACAAACCAATAAATTTGGATACGGGATTCGGTTTCTAAACGTCCATGGTCCTTTAAAACTGAAGTAGAAACTGGAGTTTGAGTCCTTCAGCGCAGACGAAGGCCCCACCTCTCAGGTCTGGGGTGGGGGAGTCCTCAAATTTTTTTTTTTTTTAATAAAGGAAAAGCAGATGTAGCCTCTAAGCCCCTTCTTTGGCCTCTTATTTTGCAGATTATACATACACTACTTTAGAAAAATTTAATATAGAAATGGATGAAGCAAAAAGTGCAGTTTCTCTCATACCATTTGCCAGTGTACCTAATACTAGAAAAAGATTTTCAGATACTGAATGTCTAAAGGAGTAAGTGAAATTTTCGTTTAATACAACCTACCAGTGCTACATAATACTGTTGGGCTGTTGGAAAAGTCATGATGCATTTTTGCAATGAAAAACAGAAAAAATACGTCATGACTTTTCCGACAACCCAATAGATAAGTTAAAAGAAATGTATAAAATTGAAAGTGAAATTTCCCTGTCGTGCTATCTACCAGTGCTAACCACTACTAGTTCTAGTTGCAATTTTCCAGGTTTTTTTCTTTTGCGTTATCAGTGGAATGTGTGTGTATGGGTATAAGTTTCTGAAATGGAATTGTACTATAAATGCAGTTATCCAGCTTGCTTTTTTTCACTTACTAAGGTATTTTGAGTATCTTTCTGAACTATAAGCATTTTCCAGTATCACTAAAACACTTATTTGAATGGCATTTCAAATGCTACATATTTTGTCATTTAAATGTACGCTGTCTTATGTAGTCATATCTCTGTGGCTTCCAGTTTGGATCTAAGTAAATATTTATTCACATTTCAGATTCTTTCCCTAAGCTGAGTCCCAGACAGCCCTTCTGAGTCAAAGATAAACTTTAAAGTTCCCTCTCCAGGGAGAGTTTATCGTTTTACACTCGCATCGGTAGCTTACAGAGATATGCAATGACAGCAATCACATAACGACTGTGATCATTTAAAAAAATCTTTGTTGATAGAAATGAAATCGCTCTTGTTTAACTTGTGTTTCTTAAGACTACCAGAGGGTTCAATGCTCTGGCATGTTTACTGATCTTCCTCTATGATTTTTGGAACAGAGGTAATCTGCCCTCTACCAAAACAAAAAATCAGCTCCCAGCTCAGTTTACTTAGAACTTCCTGGACCCGGTCCTGGACCGGGTCCGGAGCTCCGCGTTCTGCACGCAGTGGGTCGGAAGCCTCGCCTTCGCCTCTCTCTAGGAAGTCCAGGGCGGGTTTCAGGCGGCCTCCTCACGCCCTCTAGTGGCCGCATCGGCAGCTGCAGCCTCGCCTCCTTGCCTCTCATCCAAACGGGTTCTCCCAGAAGGAAGAGATAGAACAAGGGAACCCCACAGACAGGCCTGGACCTGGGCTTTACTTGCTGACAGACAATGTGGGGATTCTTCTTCTTCGCGGGTGGGCAGCTCCTGTTAGGATGGATGTTTGTGTCCTTGTCGCCTTGGCTTTTGGGGAGGGACTGGAGGCAGCGGGTCTGTTTTCACCCAAGTGCCTGATGGGGACAAAAAGTGGAGAGGATACTCCAGTTCTCGGTTTGTTTCCCCTAAAACTTTGAGTCCTCTGGAATCTTTTTATAGAGGGGGGAGTTAATCAGTAAGTAAAGGAATTAACGTCCATGGCTGTCAGGGGGTTCTGTTAGAAACCTTGAAATCACTTAGCTGTTAGCACCTGTTCTTGCTACACCCTAGTTCGGCCCTCGAATGCCTGACTGTCAGTGTCATTTAACACTGAGTATTAACCTCTCTGATAGAGCAAGCATGGATACTATTTTAATTTACAATTTCTTTTTAAATCATGAGAAAAGTTTAAGATTTTCTTTTATATTTGTTGGTCATTCACACTTCTTTTGCTATTTGTCTTTTCCTGCTTTTTTTATGTTGGACTGTGACTTGTGTATATGGGTTAAGTTCTTTGTTTGTCATATAGTGCAGATGTTTTCTCTTGTTTATTGTTTGGTTTTGGTTTATAGTATTTCACCTAAAGAAGTGTGTGTGTGTGTGTGTGTGTGTGTGTGTGTGTGAGATTTAAGAACTACAGGAATGTGCTATAGGAAATAACCTTTATTCATTTGCCTCCCAGAATGCACAAATATTTATATGTTGGCTTATTTTTTGTAAAGGAAGTAGAATTTTACAGATAAATCGGAATCGTCTTGGTTCCCTTTCCCGTCCCGTTTCCCCTTCCCTGGGGCAGCTGCTGTCAGGAATTGAGTGCATGGATCCTTCAGTCCCGGTTTTTCTACTGTTACGACATATACAAGTATCGATAAACAACATACAGTACTGGGTGTGCGTGTGTGTGTGTGTGTGTGTGTGTGTGCGTGCGCGCGCGCGCGCTTTAACTTACATATATCTTACCTACCATGTGACTGCATCATTGATCAGTTTTCTTTATTTACACTTCAGTATGTTCAGTTCATAATGATAGGCACAAACCCAGTTCATTCATTTTGACTGCTGTGTATGGGGTCGTCGGAAAAGTCATGACGTATCTTCTCTGTTTTTCGTTGCAAAAATGCATCACGATTTTTCCGACAGCCCAATAGTATCTCATCCAGTGACCAGAACTCCAAATTCTTCGCTTCACGAGGGGCACCCCTAGGTGTATGTTGTGGGTAACAGGCATCTTCAGCTCTATGGGCTCTTGCCACACTCTTCCCGAAGGGGTCATGCCCGTCGACACTCCCACCAGCAGTGCACAAGGCTTCCTCTCGTCCCAAACCTTCACCAGGGCGTGTATTGTCAGGTGGAGTGAGTTTTGCCCACCTGGGAATGAGGTAGCATCTCACTGTGGTTCTAATTTGCACATCCTGATTGCTGGTGGGGTCGGGCATCTTTAAGTAGCTATTGCCTAGAGTTGAACAGGTTTTCTCTTCTTTGCATCTTCCCTTCCTGTCCTTTACCTGTTTTTTCCGTTGGGTTACTTGTGTTTGTCTTATCAATCGGTGGTGGTCTTTCCATGTTTTAGATACTCGTGCCTTGTTATATGAGTCATAGCCATCTTCTGGTCCCTGGCGTGCCTTTTATTTCTTCAGCTCAGCATTTATTAGACCATCGCCAAGCCCTCGCCATGTGTAGCTGATTGGAAATTACACTACACCCTCCAGGAATGTAGCATTTGCTCAGAATATTACAAAGTTCTATAGGAACCAGTCAGAGGGTTGGGGAGACACTGAGACAACAGTAGGTCTGGCAGCAATAGACACCACACGAAGAAGGGTCTGACCAGGCCAGAAGGGCAGGGCCTTCCTGATAAGTGGGGTACAGAGGCCGAAAAGTGGGTGGTCAGCCTCAGAGTCTGCACCCTTCTTTCCTAACCTCAGCCTGCAGTCCGGCCTCAGAGTCTGCAGCCACGCTCACCCTCACCCATGGCCAGGGGTCCACTCTTCCGCTTCTTCCGTCTCCTGGTTCTGTCCACGTGGCCTGAGGCCTTCAGCCCACCGGCCCCTGGCCCACACTTTCTGCCTCCTAGCTGAGGAGCAGTTTGGCTTTTCAACCGTTTTGACTTTTGAACTTTGTGTTTGTTGTTTTATGTTGAACAGAAGTTTAGATGTTTGATGTCATATTTGTCAGTCTTTACCTTTATAAGATATGCTTTTTATGTCTTACCCCAAAAATCCTATTCCATGCCAAAGTCAAAAACCGCTGCCTGGATTTTCTCATAATAGTTTTTGTTTTTCACACTGAGGTTTTCAGTCCATCTTTTGTAGTTAATACTATGTTCGTTTCCTTTCCTGTGGCTTTTCCTCTGCAGGGATACTTTTCAGCATCCTCTCCGAGCCCCAACAAGTCCACATGGACAGTCTCTCGTCCATCACCTCACGTTCTGCCTGCTCTGGGGACACTCAGTGTTTGTCAGGGGGTTTCTCTGTTAATATCTGCAACATCGTTGATTCTGGTTTCATGTTGTGGACCCTGGGGCTTGATTCCACAGCGATTAGAATGCCTTCAGGTTTCGAAACTCTCGTGGAGTCTGTTGAATATGTTTTATGCCTGTGTCATTGGAAATGTTCTTGGATCTGGGTGTGCAGCTGAGTAACGGTCCCAGGTTCCCCCATAAGGAGGCTTCCGCTTGCCTTGAACACATGACCCATTGTGTCTTTTTCATAAGGGATCAAAGGAACTGATACCATACGCCATTCTTGTCAGCGGCCTAACTTTATGGCAGCTAAAGTTACATCTGAGGAGTCAGGGGGCACTGAATTGTTCCCACTCCTGCTCACCCCATTTTGATCAAGAGAAAACAAGAAAAATCATCACCCTTCCAACAATGTGTATTTTCTATAGCTCAGATTTAAAAAAAAAAATCTGAAAACAAGGAAAATAAGATTTATAGGATTTTCCTGCTAGGTTGTCACCAGCATCCCTTGGAGAACATGTTAAAGGTGGTGGCCCCAAACGCCTGGGAAGTAATAGCTTCACAAAGGATTGTTGCCCGGTACCGCCACTTGTGTGTGCCTCTGCCATCCTGCCACCAAATATCTGGCTGGTTTCTTTCTCAGCAGAGAAGAGGTGTGAGAAGTGGGCATAGCATGTGATTCCCAAGTCCGCCTTCCCTCCAAGCAGCACCCCTCAGGGGGCCCTGGTTTTTGGCCTCAGCCTGCCCATGGCCAAGGGCCACCCGCAGCTTTCAGTAGTCAGAAACTGTTATAACAGTTAGCATTGTTTGTGTGTTTATTTCTGCTTAAAGAGATTTTGCCTTTCTTTTCTCTTTGTTTGCTGCAGTTTGTTGTGACCCTGCCTTTGTGTTTTTTCCACAGGCCGGAAGCTAAGAGGAAAAGCCTTTTATTTCGTCAATGGCAAAGTGTTTTGTGAGGAAGACTTCCTGGTGAGTTTGTCACCCAAGGCTCCCCTCCCTGCAGTCCCAACCAGAGACAGACAGGGAGCGAGCAGAGACAGACAGACAGGGAGCGTGCAGAGAGGCCCCGCTGGGAGAAGGGGATGGTTCCTTGCGGTGATCCCCAGAGCCGGTGGGAAGCTGCATTGCCCGAGAAAGGGGTCCTGATTTTGCTTCTGTAGATGCACAGGGTGGCCCATGTTCCGAACCCCATGTTCCGACAAACCACAGAGCTTTGTGCTTTGAAGGGACCTTGGAACCACTCGGCCTGTCCTCGTGTTGCTTTGCGCATCTATGCTGGCTCCGCCCATCTCTGAAACCTGTGGCCTGGGGGCCAGGCCTTTCCTGCTCCTCACCCTCCCTGCTCTCAATGGGGATCCAGCCTGTCTCACCCACAGAAAGGCCATCTGTGTGCCAGTGACGCCCAGATCTGAGCTCCAGCCCTGTCAGCACCTCTGAGGCCAGCTGCTGACGTCTCACTGCCCACTGGACAGTCCTGGGCTGGAGCCCCTCACTCCACTTGCCTGAAGCAGAAACATCACCTTGCCCTGGGTCCTCATCTCTGAGACCTGTGTCCTGGGTTTGTCCTCGACCCCTCCTCCTTGCTGTCTCTCCCAGAATGCGGCCAAGCACTGATCCTTGGCCACCATGCCCTCCCTGGACCAGCTTAGCTTGCAACATCAGCATGGCTCCCCGGGGCTGGCCTGATGGCCTCCTCCACACTGCCTGCGTGTCCACCGGGCGGCCCAGTGTTCAGCGCATGCGCAGAAGAGCTCTCTGCGGCCCGCAGCCTGCCTCTCTCCCAGCCTGTGTCTTGCTCACTCTGCGCCTTGCCATTCTCTGCATGCCCACCCAGCCCCACCTTCCTTCCCTAGCTACTGCCGTTTCCCCTGCTTGGAATGTCTTCACCCTCTCTTTGCACAGGGAGCTCCGACAGCCCTCCTTGTCCCTCCTGCCCCCACAGTGGGACGCGCCCCCTCTGTGCAGCCCCCTCGCCCTGGGAGAGCAGTTGGCGCACAGCATTGTGTCTGATTACAAGTCTTGCTCCTCCACCGACCGACCGTATGCTCCCAGGGAGGGAAGAACATGCGTCTCCACCTTTTACCTCATCAGACCCGAACACAGTGCTGAGCATAGAGTGGGGCTTGGGGAATGGTGGTTGAATGGAACCTGCATTTCGGGGAGAGGGACGTGACACCCAGAGATGGCCTGGGGATGTGTGGGTTGATTCATTTTGACTAGCGTTTGCCAGGCATGTTCAAGCAAACCCAAACTGGCTTAAGCAAAAAAGTTCAAACCAGCAGTGCCCTCAGGAGTCATTCTCTCTTCAGTTTTTGGCCCTGCCTCTCACCGTGCTAGCTTCAGTCTCAGGCACTATATGATGGCCAGATGGTGGCAGCCCTCCAGAGTGCCCATCCTGCCTTCAGAAGCCGCCAGGAACACCTCCTGGAGCCTCATTGGCTCTTGTTGGGTCACATGAGCATCCCTGGGGAAAATCATTGGTGCTGGAGGAATGGGAGGCTCTGAATGGCCAGGTCTGAGCCAGCTGCCCTGCCTTAGAACCCAGCCTGGGATGGGCCCTACAGGAATAGTGGGGACCGAAATGGGGGGTGGGGCTGGAGCCCAAGTGAAAATAAAGAACTGTTATCACCCCTAGGATGGCGGGGAGATGCCTGGCAGCAAAAATTTCCACTGCCTGGTGAAGAGTTTCTCCCTTTTTTTTTTTCTATCTTCTTTTCCATTACATTTTCCCCATTAAGTTGTGTTTGCAGTATCTAAACTTCTAGTATCTTCCAGTGTATAGTATCTGTTTTCTGAAGAGAGTTCCTCATTTCTTTCAAGACTCCAACTGTGTGTGTGTGTGTGTGTGTGTGTGTGTGTGTGTGTGTGTGTGTAAGGTAAGTTAGATAATATTCATTAAGTTTCTTTGAAACTAACTGTAAAAGGCATTGGCTTTTTAACCAGAAACAGACTTGAATTTGAGTCTTGTCCTCACCCCTTATTTACTGTGTGACCTTGAGAAGGTTGCTTAACCTCTCTGAGTTTCCCTTTGCTTCTATTTGAGAAATGGTATAATATGTACATTGCAGAATTGTTTTAAGGATTAGAGTGGTGGTCTCAAACTTGAACATGCGTTGAATCTTCTGAAGGGCTTGTGAAAACAGATTCCCAGGCTTCACCCCCTGAGTTTCCAGTTCAGGAGGTCTGGGTAGAGCCCAAAAATGTACACTTCTTGAAGTTCCCAGGTGATGCTAGGAAATTCCTCCTTGAGAACCACCAGTTTAGAGATTAAAGTCTCTCTAGGCACAGCCTCTTACACAGAGCGCGGCGTGTCGTGGGTGCCAGACGCAGTCATTGTTAGGGCAAGTGCTCTGAGTATTTGTAGTGGCTTTTATGGCAGAGCCTACCCCCTGATTCATCAGGCAGCTGTGTTGTCCTCGGGGTAATGACAGATTCCTGTATAGAGTGACACATCTTTCTAAGAAAGTCCTTGCAATGCTCGTGACTGGCAGGGAAGTGGCTGGATTCATCCACCCTGCCTGGGTTTTATTATTTTTTTCCTTCCTCTTTCACAAAATTTATTCTACACCTATTGTATCAAACAGCATTTTAAACACTGACATATAAACTCCCTAATAAGATAAAGGAAAGACAAAAGCATTTAACTTATGAGAAACAAGATACACCAGCTCTTATAGTCTTCAGACATTATTGCACTTTAACTTTCATAATTTGACAAAGCATTCATGAAACAGTCTGCAGATTAAAGAACACTTTTAAGCAGACGTGACTGACCTAAATTGTTTACTAGCTAAACATTTTACGAACATTACTCATATCAGCGGTAGTGGTGGGGCTGGAGAGCATTGCGCCCCCTCCAAGCTGCGCGGCGGGAACCACTCTAATGGTGGGACCTGTGGCCCTCTCCAAGGCCACGGCTCTTGTGGCCTGCAGATGTCAGCCCTCGCATCTCCCTGTGCGAGTGGACTGGTTTGTTGATCCACTGGGTGACAGGATTTCTGTCTGATCACTTTGTGGAATGGATCAGTGAGGATAATTTCAAAGAACGCGTATGTGGAATCTCCACCAACCCAGTAAGAAGTCAGGACCCTCAGAGCCCCACAGTGGCGTCCAGCTCGCCCCTCGGCAGCAGACTGAAGCAAACGTTAGCCGATTGACCCCGTGATGGGCAGGCTTGCCGTAGGTCACACCCTTAGGAACTGAGCGTTTGCGGCCACCACGGCGCACATGAACCTGATATATGACATAGCCTTGCTGGCCTTGTGTCCCAGCCTGCGTGCTTTATCGGGCCGGGTGGGGCGGGGGCCCTGTGGAGCGCAGAGAGCTGGCGGTACTGCCAGCAGCGCACCCTGAGGAGGAACCGATTATGTCAGACTGCTTCTTCCTCCATAGCTCCCAGATGTACCTGTAAGCGCCCATCTTGGCTTACCTGATGGCTGCGGCCAGATGGAAACGCTGCGCTGCCTGGGTTTCACGTTCTTTGCTCTTTCTTCTGCAGTACTCCGGCTTCCAGCAGTCTGCTGACCGGTGTTTTCTTTGCGGCCATCTGATCATGGACATGGTGAGTAGTGTCAGCTGAGCAAGATAACAACTCAGTGGGACGGGGAGGCACTCAGTCAAACGAGAAATCAATGATCGAGAGCAGTGCTTCTTACCTTGACCTGCGGATCTGAAAAGCAGACCCGGTGCCATGCAGCTTGCTTGCTCTAGTAGAACCCACACTGTTGGCTTTTCTTGGTGTCAGCGCCCTCAACCATCCAGTCCATGCAGTGGTGTGTTTCTGATGCTGTTATCACACTGGCCTCCCTCTGATTTTCTGGGATCCTGGCGGCGTCCCAGGTGAGATGCCAAATGGAGCCTGTTTTTTACTGCGGAATTCCCAGTTACCTTGGAGTCAGGTGCAGAAAGTCAGATAAACATGGTATTTCCCCCTCTGTTCTGCTTGGCTCGGTCTGTTCCTAAGGTGAGTTTTGGGGAACTGTTAGTTCTGAAACCACAGAACAAGAAACAAGTTTTTTTTATTTTTTATTGGGGAATTGGGGGAAGGGGAACAGACAAGTTGCTGTCCTTTTATTCTTCAGTCTAGTTGTGGAGGACGTTGCTTCACTGGCCCAAGTTGACACCATCATTGCATTCTTCCTGGGTGAGGCAGATCAGTCACTGGCTTCTGGACTGCTGCTCACTGCGGCTGCTGGCCGCTCACGCTGGCTGCTGGCGACACACGGTAGCCCATGGCAACCCACTGCCACAGGGGCTGCAGCCTATGACGTTGCCGGCGACTCATGGCAGCCCAGCTCCAGGTTGAGCTGTTGTTCAGCATCTTAGCTGTGGAGGGCAGTGTCACTGGCCCTCATATGTGGCGTCCGAACCGGGGCCCTCTGGCGTCCCAAGCCAACTCTTAACCAACGCGCCACTCGGCCAGCCCGGAACAAGTTTTATACGTTGTTTCTTGCTCAGCCACTGGCTCTCTGAGCTTGTCTTGGGACTCAGTATCTTTATCTCTTCAGTGGGGAGTTTTTCCTTCCTGATCTCCTTATAGGGTAAGGTTGTGGGCTTAAGGAATAGCATTCTTATTCTGTCTCAGGCATCAAATTGGAGATCAGCTCTGTAGAATCTCTTCAACGTACTGGTTAGAGAAAAATGATTGTGTAACGTTCTTTTAGTTGGGAAGAGTTAACCCCTTTCTTAGCTGACCTGTTAATTCATTTCTGGAGACGGGAATTGCTAATTGTAGCTATTTTTTAAGTTTACCTTTTATTGAGAGACAACTCATAGAATTAAGTTGAGAAACAACTCAACTTAAAGGTACAGTTGAATGACTATTTGCCCCTGTAAGTACCACCCAGGTCAAGATACAGATCATTTCCCACTTCCCACACCCTAGAAAGTTCCTTCTTGGCCTCCCAGTCAAGACCCCCCCCCCCCCGCCACACACACACACACAAAGGTACCCACAGTTCTGACCTCTCTTGCCCCAGATTTGTTTTGTTGGTCCTGGAACTTCATAAAAATGGGATCGTACATATATTCTCCTTTGGGTCGGCCTTTTCTCACTCAGAAAAACCTTTCTGAGATTCATTCATGTTGTTGCCTGTATTGCTTTTTTGTTTATTTTTATTGCTAAATAGAATTCCATTGTAGGCATTTTTATCCATTCTCCCGCTAATGGGGATTAGGGTGGGTTCCAGTTTGGGGCTACTTAAGAATAAAGCTGCTGTGAACACTTTCAGGCATGTCTTTGATGGACATAAATGCTCGTTTCTATTGGTTTTATGCTAACACGTATAAAACTGTGAGCCAGAGATATCCCTGTTCATGAAGAGAACCTGCTGTCAGCCTGGCTCTGACGCACCACAGCAGAGCTGATCCTTGTGAGTGGGGTTCTTGTCAGCAGCCCAGGCGTCCCTGGGAACAGGGCCCTCCCCCATCCCCCCGGGGAGGCAGGCAGGAGCCACACATCCTCACCCCTGCCTTCCCTAAGAGCCTGCCAGACTCCACAGGGCACCATTGCTTTGGCAGAATTTGTCCTTGATTTTAGAGTCCTGACAAAGCCATCACATATCAGGTCAACAGTGTCCAAATTTGTGAACATGAGTATACCCTGTTCTTATTTCTGGGTATCCTAAGCCTTCTTTGAACCTCAGGGTATTCCATTTATTTATTGCTATATGACATCCCATCTCCCCCAAAAAACTTAATGGTTTAAAGCAACAGTGATTTATTATTTATCAATGGGTCAGGAATTAGGCCAGGCCTCTGCTCCATGTGGCATCGGCTGGGGTCACTTAACTCAGCTGTGTTCAGCTGGGGGCACAGTTGAACGTCCGAGATGACCTCTCACGCCCCAGGCCTCTCTCCCTGTGGCATATAATCTCATGCCACATCTAGCCTGGACTGTCTTATAGCAAGGAAGAGGAAGCAGAAGCTGCCAGTCTTCTTACATCATTGACTCAGAAATTTCAGAACATCATGTCTTCCTCACTCTGTTGATCAAAGAAAGTCACAAGTCCAGTCTCTTTCCAAGGGGAGAGGAAGTAGTCTCCAATTCTTTAAGAAGCGAGGACCAGCCTGTGCGTACGGGCAGGGAAGGAACTGCGTTTGGAGACAATCTCTACCACACTGGATGATGCGAACTTGAGCCTGGGTCCTTGCAGGCCTTCTCTAGGACTTGAAAACTTTTAGTGAATGTCTGTCTCATAGTGACACCTAGTTTTAAAAACACAACCCTTACCTGCCACCCCAAATTCTAGTGCTGCAGAGAAAGATTCCTTCAGATCCCATTCTTGGTTCTCCTGCAGAACCCCAGTTGTCCTACTCCTTGTATGAATTGTCTGTCTGTGCCCCCTTGCTCATAGATGGGTGGAATGCTCTGGACTTACAACTTGGAACTGGGCATTTTCCCACATTAAGAACAAAATTGACTACAGCCGGTCAGAGTGTGGCAGAAGGGCGACTGAATCCTCCCATACTTCCTTTCGGCACAGCGTGAGTGCCAAGACAGCCTTGGTCTGGGGGCGAAATGCAGGCCAGGATCTGAATTGCCCAGTGGACTTTGGAAGCCCAGCTGGTGGTTTTTATTTTGGTGACTTGAGAGGGGCCTCGAGGGTTAGCGAAACCTTAGAGGCAGTGAGGAAGCTGAAAAATTGGAAAAGCGGGAAGCCCTCCGGTCATCCCGGGGGCTGCAGTGTGTGAGGTGTGGGGCTGGCCTCCGGAGGCCGTGTCCGGGCGCTGGAAGGAGCCGGCACATGGCGGTGCACCTTCCCCACAGGTCTCACGATGCCCTCCGCTCCATGTCCCCTCCCTTCTGCCTCTCTGAAGGCACTCTGTGTGGCCCCCACTCCCGCATACTAACGACCATAATATGTATCGCTGGCAGATGTGCGTTTTGGTGCCACCTCGCTGGTGCTGATTCCAAACTCAGTTGTTTGTGCTGACTTTCATGGCCCAGGTAATTGTGGAAATGAAATCTATTGAGTCGGCAAAGATTCTTTCAACTGGACACTATAGAAAAATCCAGACTCGTGGTAACGCCGACGTTCGCATGCACCAGTAGTATCACTTCATTAAAACACCAACTGCTGGGCCTTCCCCAGAGTCAGTGATTCAGGAGATTTGGGGTGGGGCCCAAGAATGTGCATTTTTAATAAGTTTTCAGGTGGTGCTGATGCTGCTGGTCCAGGGGCCACACTTGGAGAAGCACTGACTGAATAGGAAGAATGTTTTCTCTCACCTAACAAGGGGTTACAGGTGGGCAGTTCCATGGTGGGTGAATTTGATTACCCAGTGACTCACCAAGGCCATTCTGTCCATCCGTCTGTTCTGTCTGTCCTCTTGGGGTGTCACATCCAGACCAGATGATGCTGAAAGGAAGAAGGTTTGTGGGGCTTTCTCTTCATTGTGCTTAAAAATAACAACAACAACCAAGAGGCTTTGCTTGCATTTGGATCTGAGATAATGAGGGGCTGAATCACAGGATTATCGTGTCGCAGCGTCAGAGCTGCTTAGAAGGGGCGCCCAGGAGGCAGGAGTGCAGAGGCCTCTTGCCAGCTCTGCATTTCGGTGGGGAGTCGCTGGCTCTCTCCGTGTACTTGCTGCTTCCCAGTTCTGGGATGGAAGCTTTCGTGGCCCTGCTTTCCATCGTTTCCTGCAGACGTTTTTGGAAGGGAGCTCTTTAAATCCCCCCCTGGAGGTTGAGGAATACAGGAGAGGGATCCTGTCTGGTCTCCTGTTGAGATGTAACTAGATTAGCTTCTCTTGCCCCGTGTCATCTGTTGACCTTGGGCCAAGTGAAGCTCCGGGCCGAGTGTGCCCCATGTGGTGTGATGGCTGACATGGGCCCTTGCCCTGACGTGCTGCTCCCTTCCACCGTCCCTCCCTCGCCCGTCATCCCGCTGAGTCCTGGCCTCGTCCTTTGTGCCCCCAGATCCTGCAGGCCCTGGGGAAGTCCTACCACCCTGGCTGTTTCCGCTGTGTCATCTGTAACGAGTGTTTGGACGGGGTGCCCTTCACCGTGGACTCTGAGAACAAGATCTACTGTGTCCGAGATTACCACAAGTAAGGAGGGCCAGGATCCGCGCATGCACGCCCCAGCGATCGGAACAGCAGAGAGACAGGTGGCAGCCTGCTGCGGCGCTTCTGCAGGCAGCTGGGACCATTAGTCCACAGCCGAGCAAAGGCCGCATGGTTTGAGGGGGACTAGAGCTCAGTCAATGCCCGTGCGGACAGGAACTGATGAAAGGACCATGCTTACTGGAAAAACCAAAAACAAAACAAAAAAACACAGAACAAATCTGCCAGGCCTGTGTCTCCGGCGTTACCTAACTTCACAAGGCGCCGACGCAGCTGGCCCCCAGCCCACTCCATGTGCCTGGGCCTGTCCCAGGCGCCACGAAGGCAGTAAACAGTCTTTATCCGAGTCGAGTGAGAGGGGCCAAATGTGCTCGTCACGGCTAAGGAACAGTCCCGAAGCAATACTGAAGCAAGTCCCAGAGTGTGAGCCTCTTTGTACGAGGGCTGGAGGGGTTTGCTGGAAGAGCGCAGGACGGGAGGCAGGCCTGGGCCTGTGGGGGGGGCTCCGTGCAGGCCCCATGCACAGGTCTCCCAGAAACTTGGCCTTGCCTTCCGGAAACACCACATATGCATTTTACCGCTTCTTTGCTTCTCCTCCAGGGTGCTGGCCCCCAAGTGTGCAGCCTGTGGGCTTCCCATCCTTCCACCTGAGGTAAGTGCTTCTTCAGACCCGCTCCAGGTCTTCCATGACACGAATTTCTCCCTGGGGTCATTTATAAGATCTGTGTCCTGTCCATTCACCTTTAAAACAGTCCTTCTAGAATCTCGACTTTGAGGTAACTAGTGTCCTCACCAAGAAGCCCCTTTCTCATTAGCTGGCTTCCCCAGCCCAGGGCCCTTCTTGTGCCCTGTTAGTCCCCATAATCAGGGCAGGCTCTCTGACTCGACACTAACTCCTCGATTAGAAGACGAGGAAAGCCACATAGGTGTGTTTGTCAGTGTTGACTCCGACATTCCAAAAGATAGCACTAGTGTCCCTCCCACTTCTCCACTTCTCAGCTAAATGTGTCTTTTTTTTTTTTTTAAGGTTTTATTGGGAAATTGGGGAAGGGAACATTGTGTTTCTCCAGGACCCATCAGTTCCAAGTCAGGTTGTCCTTCAATCCTAGTTGTGGAGGGCTCAGCTCAGCTCCAAGTCCAGTCACCATTTTCAAGCTAGTTGGAGGGGTGGGGGTAGGCGCGCAGCCCACCATCCCATGTGGGAATCGAACTGGCAACCTTGTTGTTAAGATCACACACTCTAACCAACTGAGCCATCTGGCTGCTTGAGGCTGCTCAGCTCAAGGTGCCGTGTTCAATCTTAGTTGCGGGAGAGCACAGCCCACCATCCCATGCTGGAGTCGAACCGGCAACCTTGTTGTTAGGAGCACGTGCTCTCACCAGCTGAGCCATCTGGCCGCCTGTTGGCAGCTCAGCTCGGGCGCAGCTCACTGGCCCATGTGGGAATCGAACCAGCGACCCTATTGCTCAGAACTTGCACTCTAACCAACAGCGCCACCTGTCTGGCCCTAAATGTGTCTTTTTTCCTGCTAGCATTAGTATCCACTCCTGATTTCTGCTCTTCTCTAAGGCCTCCTACTTGTTACTCAGAGTCATCTCCACCCACCCCATGGCGTGTGGAGCCCAATGGGCCCCAACTAGCCTCTTGTTCTTGCTTTTTCCCGGTCCAGGGTTCAGATGAGACCATCCGTGTTGTGTCCATGGACAGAGACTACCATGTGGAGTGTTACCACTGCGAGGTAAGCCCCTCCCCGCCCGGCTCCAGTGCCCGTTTAGAAGTCAAAGAGAAAAGCATCCTGGTTAATTGGGGCAGGAGATGGTCAGCAAGGTTTAGGCGAGGGGCTGCCCTCCGGAGCTGATGGAGGAAATTGGGTGGAGCCTGATTTGTGGGATGGCGGGGAGGTTGCAGAGAATGCAGATGTTTGGGGCATAAAAAGGTCTGTGCTATTTTCTCCACTTTCACAACTGCCAAGTCCTGAAACCGTCGCAGCTGCCCTTCTTTTTTTTTATTGGGGAATTGGGGAAGGGGAACAGACAAGTTGCTGTTCTTTTGTTCTTCAGTCTAGTTGTGGAGGACGTTGCTTCACTGGCCCAGTCGCCGGCTTCTGGACGGCCGCTCACAGCGGCTGCTGGCCTCTCATGCTGGCTGCTGGCTACACACGGTAGCCCATGGCAACCCACCTGCCCTCACCGGTGACTCACGGCAGCCCAGCTCCAGGTTGAGCTGTTGTTCAGCATCTCAGCTGTGGAGGGCAGTGTCACAGGCCCTCATATGTGGGATCCGAACCGGGGCCCTCTGGCATCCCAAACTAGCTCTTAACCAACGCGCTACTCGGCTGGCCCGTAGCTGCCCTTCTTAAAGCAGCGGAGGAGCAGGGTAGGGGGGTGTGGGTTTCAGGTCCTGTGTGGGGACCACATCATCAGGCAGATGTGCGGTTTGGGGAATAGACTGCCTTCCCTCCAGCTTGTAGGCTGTTCTGTCAGCCAGGAACCCCTTTCTCAGCTGAACCCAAGAAACCCCACTGGGAAACAGGGATGTTGCTGGTTGGTGTGAAGGTTTGGTGGGGGCCGTCTGCCTCTTGTCTGTCCTTGTGTCACACCTCAGACTGAAGGAGCCACTGGTGCCCCATGACTGTCAGGCCAGCCAGGGGTCGCCCCTCACCAGCACTTGTGAAGGGAGTAAACGTTTCAAGTACCCGTGGGCTTTCAGCCAGAATTAAGTAGATTCACCCATGAAAAGAGATTTGTTTTTGATGCGGTGGGTGGGGAGAACACGGGCTGTGAGTGACAGATAGCTTGATCCCAGTGCCAGCACTGAAGAAATAGCTGGGAGTCCCTGTCAGTAGTACTCCAGGTGCTGGGGAGAGAGGTAAAGACCCTTGCTCAACTGTCCTCTCCACCCACTCCGGACCAGCGCTGTCCAATGGAAATGTGAGAGCCACAAATTCAAGTTATACGTGTAGTTTTGTTTTCTAGAGCCGTGTTAAAAAAGTGAAACAGGCAGGATTAATTTTTGCGATAATATTTTATTCAACCCATTCTATCCAAAATGTTATTGTTTCAACATGTAGTCAACATAAAACATGTTTCACAAGATGTTTTACATCCTTTTTTTTTTTTTTTTTTTTTGTCCTAAGTCTTGGGAATCTGGTGTGTGTTTATAAGGATATCCCATCTCATTTCCGGCCAGCCTCATGTCAAGTGCTCTGAGAGTGACGTGTGGCCAGTGGCTTGGGTCCTGGACAGTGCAGCCCAGGCCTTCCCTGGGGAGTGCTGGCTGTTCTGCACTGGCCATTTCTGCCCCTTCACAATCACAAATGGTTTGGGGACTGGATTTTGTGTCAGTCTTGCCGTCCTTTCGTTTTGCTGCCACTGACGTTGTTGCCTCGCCCAGGACTGCGGTCTGGAGCTCAATGATGAAGACGGTCACCGCTGCTACCCGCTGGAGGACCACCTGTTCTGTCACTCCTGCCATGTCAAGAGGCTGGAGAAGGGCCCCTCGTCCCCAGCACTTCACCAGCACCACTTCTAGCCAGAGCCTCTTACAGACCTCATGACGGGGGTGAAAAGCCACGGTTGCCTAATGAGAAATCCACACGTGGCCCCTGGGGTAGAATCGGGGTGGAGGAGTGCCTGCGCCTATGTGGGGTGCCTTTCCTGTCACCAGCGAGGTGAACCCTACCTGTCTGGTATGTGTATGTTCGAAGTGCCTGTCTCCGCTGCCATGCCCTCATCAGATTACTCAGGAAGACACTCCAGCAAGCGTATGGCATGTGACAGGAGATCACATCAGTGCAACTGAATGGACTTGCCTGTCCCCTCTGGGAACAGTTCACTTCAGAGGGAAAGGTTTGCACTGAGCATATTTCACAATATCCTCTGAAGAGAGATTTCAGCTGCCGATGCATCCAACCCTTTCCCTCCCTCCAGGAAAATACCAGCACCGAGCTTACCCCCACCACCCCAACCCCCACTTCCCCCGCCTCCTTTCACACACACAATAATTTAAGGCTTCCTTTCACCCCAGAGCTTCCATTCTTCTGTAGAATGGCTACAGATTTTAATTGCCTTATGGTGGGAGGGAAACTCGAACATGTGCTTTGCATCTTAGGAAGGATTTTCTTGGTAAACCAGAGCCTAGCGTTGAAATGAGTGAGACAGGGTCTCCACCTTGCACACTGACAGCGTTCTGTGTGTCGTGCCCCTTACCCCACAGATCTTCACTCCCTTATCGGCGCTGGGGCCTGGCGGAGATTTGCCCTGTTGGCGCACTTTTGGATGAGAGCTTGGTGCAGGCACTAGGCCTCTTCACCCACCTGTTTGCCCCCTACCCCTCCGGAGCTCTTGAGAGTCTGTGACTTTGGAGTCGCTCCTGCAAAGGCAAGTCTCAGGATCCCATGTGCGGACATCTCCTGCGCCTGTGTAGCTTATTGGACGATGGGCTTTTGGAAGGCCTGCCTACGCCCCTTATCAACAAGGGGTGTTTGTGTGTGTGTGTTTGTTTGTGTGTGTGTGTGTGTGTGTGTGTGTGACCTCTAAACCAGCGTGGAGGGCGTGCCTGAGGATAAGTTATTACAGTCATTTCACAGGTTTCTCTGTTGCCCAATTCTTGGCAAGGCAAGATGTTTGAAGAAACCAGTATAAGGTACACTGCTTTTGTCTGTTTTTTTTGTTTCCCTCCACTTTCAGTCTTTCACACACAAAAAATACCTCACAGATAAGAGCGTCACCAAATTGCAGATAAAGGAGGAATTGCACCATCACAGTGGACTCAAATGCTATTTTTGGTGTGTTAGGAAACCCTGGTTTCCCGTGGGCTGTACTCCAGTGGGTCAGGGCCCTGTAATCCAAACTAAAGTGCAGCAGGGTATAGAACCAATAGACATTGCGTGCTGCTGCCTTAGTCATTTCATCATGCTGGCTCCCCAGGGTGGCAAGGGCTAAGGGAGGGCCACACACTGGCGAGATTTCAAGGCCACCTCTGCACTGAAGAGACAAAACTTGCCCTCATGTCATATTCCTGAGGCCAGAGGTCAATACCCCTTGGCATTTCAATGAGAAGGGGGAAAAAAAAAANCGTTGCTTCACTGGCCCAAGTTGGCACCATCATTGCGCTCTTCCCGGGCGAGGCAGATCAGTCGCCGGCTTCTGGACGGCCGCTCACAGCGGCTGCTGGCCTCTCATGCTGGCTGCTGGCTACACACGGTAGCCCATGGCAACCCACCTGCCCTCACCGGTGACTCACGGCAGCCCAGCTCCAGGTTGAGCTGTTGTTCAGCATCTCAGCTGTGGAGGGCAGTGTCACAGGCCCTCATATGTGGGATCCGAACCGGGGCCCTCTGGCATCCCAAACTAGCTCTTAACCAACGCGCTACTCGGCTGGCCCGTAGCTGCCCTTCTTAAAGCAGCGGAGGAGCAGGGTAGGGGGGTGTGGGTTTCAGGTCCTGTGTGGGGACCACATCATCAGGCAGATGTGCGGTTTGGGGAATAGACTGCCTTCCCTCCAGCTTGTAGGCTGTTCTGTCAGCCAGGAACCCCTTTCTCAGCTGAACCCAAGAAACCCCACTGGGAAACAGGGATGTTGCTGGTTGGTGTGAAGGTTTGGTGGGGGCCGTCTGCCTCTTGTCTGTCCTTGTGTCACACCTCAGACTGAAGGAGCCACTGGTGCCCCATGACTGTCAGGCCAGCCAGGGGTCGCCCCTCACCAGCACTTGTGAAGGGAGTAAACGTTTCAAGTACCCGTGGGCTTTCAGCCAGAATTAAGTAGATTCACCCATGAAAAGAGATTTGTTTTTGATGCGGTGGGTGGGGAGAACACGGGCTGTGAGTGACAGATAGCTTGATCCCAGTGCCAGCACTGAAGAAATAGCTGGGAGTCCCTGTCAGTAGTACTCCAGGTGCTGGGGAGAGAGGTAAAGACCCTTGCTCAACTGTCCTCTCCACCCACTCCGGACCAGCGCTGTCCAATGGAAATGTGAGAGCCACAAATTCAAGTTATACGTGTAGTTTTGTTTTCTAGAGCCGTGTTAAAAAAGTGAAACAGGCAGGATTAATTTTTGCGATAATATTTTATTCAACCCATTCTATCCAAAATGTTATTGTTTCAACATGTAGTCAACATAAAACATGTTTCACAAGATGTTTTACATCCTTTTTTTTTTTTTTTTTTTTTGTCCTAAGTCTTGGGAATCTGGTGTGTGTTTATAAGGATATCCCATCTCATTTCCGGCCAGCCTCATGTCAAGTGCTCTGAGAGTGACGTGTGGCCAGTGGCTTGGGTCCTGGACAGTGCAGCCCAGGCCTTCCCTGGGGAGTGCTGGCTGTTCTGCACTGGCCATTTCTGCCCCTTCACAATCACAAATGGTTTGGGGACTGGATTTTGTGTCAGTCTTGCCGTCCTTTCGTTTTGCTGCCACTGACGTTGTTGCCTCGCCCAGGACTGCGGTCTGGAGCTCAATGATGAAGACGGTCACCGCTGCTACCCGCTGGAGGACCACCTGTTCTGTCACTCCTGCCATGTCAAGAGGCTGGAGAAGGGCCCCTCGTCCCCAGCACTTCACCAGCACCACTTCTAGCCAGAGCCTCTTACAGACCTCATGACGGGGGTGAAAAGCCACGGTTGCCTAATGAGAAATCCACACGTGGCCCCTGGGGTAGAATCGGGGTGGAGGAGTGCCTGCGCCTATGTGGGGTGCCTTTCCTGTCACCAGCGAGGTGAACCCTACCTGTCTGGTATGTGTATGTTCGAAGTGCCTGTCTCCGCTGCCATGCCCTCATCAGATTACTCAGGAAGACACTCCAGCAAGCGTATGGCATGTGACAGGAGATCACATCAGTGCAACTGAATGGACTTGCCTGTCCCCTCTGGGAACAGTTCACTTCAGAGGGAAAGGTTTGCACTGAGCATATTTCACAATATCCTCTGAAGAGAGATTTCAGCTGCCGATGCATCCAACCCTTTCCCTCCCTCCAGGAAAATACCAGCACCGAGCTTACCCCCACCACCCCAACCCCCACTTCCCCCGCCTCCTTTCACACACACAATAATTTAAGGCTTCCTTTCACCCCAGAGCTTCCATTCTTCTGTAGAATGGCTACAGATTTTAATTGCCTTATGGTGGGAGGGAAACTCGAACATGTGCTTTGCATCTTAGGAAGGATTTTCTTGGTAAACCAGAGCCTAGCGTTGAAATGAGTGAGACAGGGTCTCCACCTTGCACACTGACAGCGTTCTGTGTGTCGTGCCCCTTACCCCACAGATCTTCACTCCCTTATCGGCGCTGGGGCCTGGCGGAGATTTGCCCTGTTGGCGCACTTTTGGATGAGAGCTTGGTGCAGGCACTAGGCCTCTTCACCCACCTGTTTGCCCCCTACCCCTCCGGAGCTCTTGAGAGTCTGTGACTTTGGAGTCGCTCCTGCAAAGGCAAGTCTCAGGATCCCATGTGCGGACATCTCCTGCGCCTGTGTAGCTTATTGGACGATGGGCTTTTGGAAGGCCTGCCTACGCCCCTTATCAACAAGGGGTGTTTGTGTGTGTGTGTTTGTTTGTGTGTGTGTGTGTGTGTGTGTGTGTGACCTCTAAACCAGCGTGGAGGGCGTGCCTGAGGATAAGTTATTACAGTCATTTCACAGGTTTCTCTGTTGCCCAATTCTTGGCAAGGCAAGATGTTTGAAGAAACCAGTATAAGGTACACTGCTTTTGTCTGTTTTTTTTGTTTCCCTCCACTTTCAGTCTTTCACACACAAAAAATACCTCACAGATAAGAGCGTCACCAAATTGCAGATAAAGGAGGAATTGCACCATCACAGTGGACTCAAATGCTATTTTTGGTGTGTTAGGAAACCCTGGTTTCCCGTGGGCTGTACTCCAGTGGGTCAGGGCCCTGTAATCCAAACTAAAGTGCAGCAGGGTATAGAACCAATAGACATTGCGTGCTGCTGCCTTAGTCATTTCATCATGCTGGCTCCCCAGGGTGGCAAGGGCTAAGGGAGGGCCACACACTGGCGAGATTTCAAGGCCACCTCTGCACTGAAGAGACAAAACTTGCCCTCATGTCATATTCCTGAGGCCAGAGGTCAATACCCCTTGGCATTTCAATGAGAAGGGGGAAAAAAAAAAAAATATATATATATATATATATACATATATATATATATACATATATATACATATATATACATATATATATATATGTATATATATATATATATATGGTTGGGTGGCATATGCCCCCTCAGCCTGTGGTGAGGCCCCCACGGGCCTTGTTGTAGGAATGCCGGAGCCATCTCACCTCTGCCAGCCAGGTTGGGAGCATGGCAGCTGACGTCTGCTCTCCATCTCACCTCACACAGAGCGAGGGGATTGGGTGGCTGGAGAGGTAGGCGGAACCCAGAGGCACCTGGGACTCACAGAATTCCTGGGTTCCGGCTCCACTTCTCAACCACGTTTCGACGCATTTGGGGTAGTTGCCTGTAAGAAGCACAGGATTGGGAACATGGATTTTTTCACATTTTTATGAAATTCATTCTGCTGGGATTCTTTGGCCAGATGTCCCTTCAGCCCAGGCAGCTGAGCCTCCTGGAAACCCGTGAACGTGCAGGGCTGGGGAATTGACCCCTGGGTCGCATCCCTCTCTTGCCATCAAGCCCTCCTCCAGCTCAGCTTGGGCAAGGCTGCTGGGCAGATGAAGCCAGCCGATATGCCTCAACTCGTCTGTGCCAACCCAGGGCGGTTGATGGCCTTGCGGACTCACCTTTGCTTCCACTTTCAAGTCCAGCAGTGACTCAAGTTGCCTTGGAGTCACTGTCAGAAGTGGCAGGGACTTGTTTGCAAATTGGGTAACTCGTTCATTTTTTAAATGAAAAGTTTAGAATGGGCTTGATTGGGGTGATTTTAGATCTCGCTGTAAATGTGGCATTGTATGTTGAAGAAGAGAATTTCCAGACGTCCTAGGAATCTGAGCAGCAGCTTCTCTTGTTATCATCTTCCGGAGAGGGCACCAGGTAGGATCCTCGCACAGTTTTCTCTCCTGCTCAAAAGCCATGAAGAGATGATCACCTACCTGGTATTTTAAACATTCTGTAAGTTATTAGCTAAAAATAACGGTAATGGGGGTGTATTTATAGTCCCCTAGAAAGGAAACACATGCACCTGGTAGACCAGGGTGAATATGTTTATTGTAAAAGTTAGAGCAGATAGCCCGTCCTGAGTTCCCTAGACAACTCTTGGACTTTAGGTGAATGAGGACAGTGACAGCCTGATTCAAGATCCCAGACCCAGCCTCCAGCCTTCTCCCTTGCCTCATTTTGCCCTTTAGTTTATTTCATGACTTTTTTGTTGTTGTTTTTTTAACCCTCCCTCAGGTAGGGCCATTCAGAAACTGCCTGGGTGGTCTGAGGAAAGCGAATAACCTAGTTTAGCCTCCTGTATCAGGTCTCAGTCTCGCTCTCGCGCCCTCTCTCTCTCTCTCTCTCTCTCTCTCTCTCTCT